TCAGTGAACGGAGTATAAAAAAGGGCTGCGCAATAGTAGCAGCGGTATTTATAGACAAAAATTTCTTTAATCTGACTGGGTAAGAGCTTTTCGCATTGCAGAATTACATAAGCAAGCATGAAACGGAAAGACTCAGTCCAGGAAAATTCAATAAAAATTAACGAGGAACTCAAGAAAAATATCAAAGAGATTAAAGAAGAATTTATTATTGCCACTATTGACAAAGCTAACAATTATTAACAATAATAACAATTCACCATAAACGGCGAATCGCTTTTAAAATTGTTGACCCCAAATACTATCGCCCTGTCAAATATTATCGGCCTGTGTTATATTTAAAGAAATTAAATAATAAAAAAATCTGCATGAATGTATATATGTTTCTCGCAGAATGAAAAAAACCAACGGTACCTACAGACATTAGATTTTGAATAACGCAGTCCTCCAGCAGCCGAACATGGGCATCTGGAATCCCGAATTTTGAATTTCTAATTTGTTTTATTACTTGTTTCACATTTTGTAAACCTTTAACGAATTTTTGATTAACAATCTCAGTGATTTCAAAGCGATCAATGGCAGCACTGTACGGAAGGAAAAAAAAAAAAAAAAAAAAAAAAAAAAACAAAAAAAAAAAAAAAAAAACAAAAAAAAAAAAAAAAAAAAAAAAAAAAAAAAAAAAAAAAAAAAAAAAAAAAAAAAAAAAAAAAAAAAAAACAAAAAAAAAAAAAAAAAAAAAAAAAAAAAAAACATCTTTATCTCTAGCCCACGAGACTGTCTATCGGAAATTCTAAAAATATGCCGTTTTTGTGTATTTTGTGGCATTGTTGTTGAATTGAATTATATGTGGTTACATGATATTTAATAAACACACAAAAACCGTTAAATAAACACCCCTTTAGGTGTAATGCAAGATCTAAAAGCTTTTGAGATTTTTCTTTTAATTCTTTTTTAGATCAACTTTTCCATTATTATTTTTTCAGATGTTAGGCTGCTTCGGTTTTACAAGTTTAGTTTTAAGGACTCCCTTCCCTTAAACTGAAATTAATAATTATAAGATTTTTAAGGTTTTTGCTTGCTTACGATTTTGATGCTTTAATTAAAAAAAATATTCTTTCATGTATGCTTTCAAAAATTGTATATTATTATTTTTCCATGTATTGGATTGTTTGTATTTACATGTTTTCTTTTGGACTCAGTCTACTCAAAATAAATTCATCTTTTGCCCTTTTGTACAGTTTGCTACTGTACTTCTGCTTTTTGCAGGTGGTTTATTCCGAATTGAATATGGGATGGTTTTAACGTATTATTTATTTAATTTTGATTTATATATAAGGAAAGAAATTTAGAACCAATTTTTCAATAAAGAACAAAAGATGAAATTCAAATAAATAAATTTTATGGAAGAGGAATTGTAATTGACTTCGATGTATCCTTCTCCTGACAACATTATGTCAGACTAATTGGATTCCTCTTCTTTCATGTTTTTCTTACTTTGTTTTCTATTTTTCTTGTGATGGTTTATTTTAATTTTTCATTTATCATTTACGGAATTCTAATTCTACATTTATTATTATAAGGAACATCCCCGATCCTTCTAGCCAGCACAAGCCGGCTTTAGGGTCAACTGAAATTTTTTTATTTGAATTTCATTTTTTAGTCTTTGTGAAAAATCGATTCTAAATTTCTTTTCTTATATATTTACTGATAAATTTTTTGCGGCATAATGCGAAAAAATTCTCTGAATGATTATGTATTATTCTTTATAATTTTTTTGTGTGTGTTTATATATATGCGCCTAGGCTGCAATGCATTTAATTAAACATAACGAACGAAAAAAAGAGTACTCCTATTAAAATCCAATAAAGTAAAAATTAAGAATGCCAATAAAGAAAATTAAGAATTACGATTTGAAGATTGCATAAATTTCGTCATCAAAATATCCAAAGCCGGTCCATGTCTTTAAGCATTCGAACACTTTTTAAAATTTTACGTTTTGTTAAATTTCTTATCTGTCATCTCTTTCAATTTAGAGATATAATATAAAAAGAGGAAACGTGAACTGTTATATTGATTTCAAATATTTTAATATAATCACGAATATTCAATGCATCAAAAATACGAACAATGCATCAAAAATACGAAAACTCAAATTTAATTTTGGAAAAAGACAAAGGCAATACTTTTATTTCATAATCATTTTTAACGAAGCTTGTCGGGTGGGTTAACACAGTATTCTGAATACTTGCCCTTGGCATTCAAAATTACGTACATCAACAGACATAAAACGTAAAGGGATTTTATTAACGTACACACATAAAGGTGAATAAAATCACAGTCTACGACGTTATGGAAATCATAAAGGAGAATTATGACATATGGGTTAAAATAGTAACGTCACTAGCGGCACCTGCTAATGTAATGGTACTAAGGCGCACACCTGCCGTTATGCATAATCATCCACTTTTCATACTGAATAAATAAAAACGTTTGGCAGATGAACTTCTAAAAATAGCTGAAAACATGATACGTATACTGTTTTATTCCGAAAGATTTATATACTGTTAACCCAGATGATTCAAGTGCACTGTTTTCGTAGCAAGTGTATATTTATTTGCTAATAAACAAAAGATCAGTGACATAGAGAGTGACGGTCCTTCCTAAACTGCACATTTTTTGTAGGACGCATTTTTCATGCGAGATATAATTTTATAGGGGTTAATCACAGATCTTTAGAACAGAACTGCATGAGCGTTTCCCCCATGTGTAATGTGTATACGAGCCAGTTCCCCTTAGAAAGAAAACTCCCAGAAGGCATTCCTCCCTTGAATGGCCTTCTGAACTATTCCAACATAGTGTAATTTAGCTTTGCGCCATAAGATGAAGGGATTGAAGTTTTGCCTTTAAAAATTCCGTATCGAAATCATAGTTCGGATAAAATAATATTATAATTTATTAACTTTTTGAATCGTATTTAAATACTTAAATGCTTTTAATTTTTAGGATGCATCTTAATATTCCATTATTACATTATACATTACTATTCGTATGCCAAATCAACAGATCTGAAATTTTACAAAAATTTCCCTATAATTATTTTATGATTTCTCTGTATCATTTTCCAAGCTTACGTTTTCAAATATACAACAAGCATGATAAAATTATGATGCATATTTCTGGATTTTTATTTTAAGGAGGCTTTCATCATATACAGACTGTTATTACGTATCACACGCATCGTATACATAAATCCTCTTCACTTTAAATATTCCACAGTTTTTAAAGTTTAGTAGTTTCTAGTGCAAAGGCTGTGCTCTTTTTCTACAATACAAAAACCAGTTCTCCCTCTTCTTCAGATTTGCTTATATTCTAAAGGTTCAAAATGTACATCTGGTTAGCATAATAGGGAATACTTGACAATCAGTTGGTAACGTTTCAGTTTCCAATGTACTTAGCCCTGTCAATATCGTCAGAGGCCTTTTTATTTCAATGGCAATTAAAAATCTTTAACACGAGGCATTTCTGGAAGAGTTTTCAGTAATAGTGGCATCTAAAAAATGCAAAATTAAGCTAGAATATTTGTGACAGCAGCGATCCGCCTTACGTGGGAAGGCTTCATGAAGAAAGAAAAGAAACCGTCTCACATTCACTTCACACACACGAAAATTGCATACACTCACCTCATTTTGGCATTCCCGGAGAAATAGCCAGAGTTCACTTTTAAATCTGTTACAAAACACGTGGTTCAACAAGCAGTTTTAAGACTGCATCCCTTTCTAAAATAATAGAATATACACCGGAAGGTTCACTAGATGATCATTCTAAAGAATTCGTCATAATTTGCATCATATTTTAATTACGAGCATGATATATGGTTAATAATATAATGTAGTGTGTGATATAGTTCCATTCACAAAAGAATGCTGAAAATGTATTTCACCGAGGTCAAACACACTCAATCGCGCTATTTAATATTAATTGAAGGTCTTGCACCAAGTGTCTCATCAAAAATTCCAATTACTCACTAATGCTGTTTTTAACAGGAGAAGCTTATTTTCGTATACTCGACATTTCACATATTTCCGTACGAAAAATAAAATCGGAAAGAGTTGAAATTGGGTGAAATAGGGATCACAATCATGTGGAGAACACTAGATTAAGGAAGAAGACCCACTACCTATATTCGTGCAAAACATTTCTCGTGATTTTGAGTTTATTCATGAATCTGGTGATTTTGTAGAGACATTAGGTTATTTTTAAAGCAGGAGTGATGAAAAATGAGCAACGCCTACGCCGGGAATCGAATCACGGACCTCAGGAATACGCGTCCAGCGTGCTGATACCACTACACTACGAAGGCATACTAAGAAGGCGGGAGAAATGCCTTATAATGTTACGGTCTTTGCGTTTATTTCCCACAGATTTCTGCACAATTTCACGCTTTATTCCATTTACAGACTCAGTTATCCAACATTCAAAAGAAAAAAGGGTGAAAGAGATAAATTGCTTTGAAGCATAAGCCATCTTGAACGGTGTTCCCAACGACTCGGTGAAAACCAAGAATACAAGTAAATGCCACCAAATAATTGATAACATCAGCGATGTACAACATTTCACAAAGCTGAAATTAATATTTCTATGCAAAGTGGGGAGAAAAAATAGTTGAATCATGGGCAAGGGGGATGCCTAGCAAAACATTCTACATAATTATTTAAAAAAAGGAACATAAATTTAACCAAACTCGTATATTCGAATATTGTGATTATGTACGGATCTCAGTACTGCCCTCGTGCCGTTAAAGTTAAAATATTTACCGCATTTCTCAAATTTTTAATGAAGAAACTCAACAGCTTTGTCTTTTTTATCGTACCTCAGTAAGTATTTTATACTTTCCATAGAAATCCCACGAACTCTGTATTGAAGATCCTACAGAACAGAATCAAATGAAAATGACAACATGGTCTTCACACAGAAATGATAAAAATAAAATTTATAAAACTTACTTTGTGCGAAGCTTTGCCATTAATGTTAACGATGAATCCGACACCACAGGCTTCTTTCTCAAATTGTGGATGATACAGACCTTTAGGGGGTGGTAGGCCATGATACTCGAGGGAAGGCATCTGACCTTCCATCTTAGTGCTACTAGATTTAAGATAAGGTCTTCTACAGTGGACAAGCAGTGGTTGTAACACAGTCACCTAAAAGAGAAGAGAAAAACATCATTAAAACCTGAAAAAGACTAAAAAAATTGTAAAGTCAGCAATACACACAGTTGCCTTTGTTTATTTACATACTCCACTTCGGCGCATTATACATAATCCAAGCAATTTACAATTTTTTTTTTAAATATAATTTACATGGGAGCATATAGCTTAAGAGTATTTTCTAAATGAAAGTGTTTGTACTGATAAACTGTATGAAAATACGAGTCTTTACCTACAAAAAAACCAGTCTGAAGGATTCTATTTGAAGCAGATACTTGAAATTCTTTCCTATCCTTTCGCAACCAGAAGGGACGAAATCCAGTTTCTAGTCAAACACTGTAAAAGGCAGCATCAAAGGAATAAGGAGAGACGTAGTGAACGGGAAGAAGAAGCATTACTGAGTTTCCCAGACAGGCCATCATTCGGTTTCCATTCACTAAGAAATTAGACTTGCCTTTCCTTCGGCTAGTTGCTATGGAAACCGAGCAAAAGTAACCAACTGATTAAAAGCTGAGCAGTGACATTTCTAGCAGAGCGGTACTGCAGTACTTATCTTTAAAAAAAAATGCATTCACAGCATTTCACATCACGCTTCTAATTTTTCACGATTGTTTCGATTAGGGGGAAAAAAAACTGATGTGTGCACCACATGACTTCCTTGTAAAGAATATTAAATTATACCCATTTTTCCTTCCATTTCATTTAAACTTATTGGATTGAATTGGATCTACTTCGTCGATAGCGCATAAACCACGATAGAATAAATGCACTCTTTAAAATTCACTATATTTGTTTACTATAGCCACACTCTGGCGCTGTGTTCCAGTTAACGGAGCTACATTTCGTTTATATAATATCAATCCTAATCCTAAGTCTCTGTTCTGGTAATATTAGGAATTTTACCAGTAATACACAAAATTTTCTAATACCAGAATGCACAAAATTTATATCATTTGAAGAATTATCTAATCTTTGCCACATGTTCTATTCAAATACTATAATAAATCTAAAACGATCTATAAAAGAAATTAAGCAAAGAACAACAACAACAAAAAAAAAAAAAAAAAAAAAAAAAAAAAAAAAAAAATAGTTTTTCACAGACGATTTAGTATTTCTAATTCAATTAATTCAGTTCTCACTTCGCGACGAGGCAAAAATACATTAAAACTGAAGATTTCTGTATTGAAAATTATGAAGTAAATCTTAAAACGCTTATTTCCTGGAATAAATTCCAGAATGCATTAAGCATGATTTAATTTGCAATAATAAAAGGCGGCGTTATCTTTGTTATTGCGAAGCTTACTTTCTCTAGATTGGCAACAAATCTTCTATTCTGATCTTTCAAATGTAAACAAGCAATGGCCACCATGGAAAACGTTATTAGGCTTATCGGCACTTAAACAACATTTAAATTGTTGATAATTCTAAAAATATTGCATACACATCTACCAAAGGCATAAAAACCTTAACCGGAAAATAAGAACAACATATTTCAATCATTTTTAAAGCAAAAAATGCACAATTCACAAACATATAAGAATAAAGAAACTGAGTTCACTGAGCCGAGTAACAGAATGAATATATATACTTTTTTGATGCGGCCGATTGCAACCAAAATACGAGGTCGACATCTACATGTTATAGCAGTCCTATATACAAAATTTCAACGTTCTGAGGCTACTCGTTAATACTCGTTATGCGAGATACGTACGTACGTACGCATAGACGCCACAAAAAATTCTCTTCAGAATTCATTTAAAATTAGTTTTACAATATTTTTTGGGGAAAACAGTCCTTTATCCTGTCCTTACGTACAGATGTCACGCAAAAATTCATTTGATAGCGGTGAAAATGGATATTTACGTTGAATATGATGCCTGAAACTTTTCGCGATTACAATACTTCCTTTTTACTTTATATATATATATATATATATAAAGGTCGAAAAAAAAGAGTAAAAAAATCTGAAATCTTTTAGATTTTATATTACGCCCAAAGGATTTTTTTAACGTTTTGCGTGTTACCTTTATTTATTAAATATCATGTTCTTCGCACTTAAACCATAAAATCCAATTCAACAGCAATATCTCCAAATAATTTTAAAAAAGCGCATCTTTAGAATTTCCGATACACAGTCTCGCGCGGTGGAGATAATTATTTTTTTCCTCCTTGCAGTGTTGCCATTGCTCGCTTTGAAATCGTTTAGTTTTTTAATAAAAAATTCGTTGAAGGGTTACAAAACATGAAACACGTTATAAAACAAATTCCAAATTCGGGCTTGCAGATACTATGGGTGGAAGACTACGTTATTCAAAATTTGAGGTCTAAAAGGAAATAGTAAAGTAGAAATTTTAAATTGGGTATTGTTAAATTCAAAGATCAGAAAATGTTTTTGGATATGGATCACAAGAATTATTTCCTTATGTTTTAAAATAATTCAGTTACAAGTTTTAAATAGTATGATTAAAAACCTCTTATTTTAATCCCCTCCCGAAATCCTCATGGAAAATTAAGTACATCGAAATCAGCAGCAATATTTCAGATATTTAATTATTAAAATAAAAGCTGCTCTAATTTGAAATAAACCAAACGGATACAGTGGTTATGATTATGGAAAGTCATTGAATATTTTAATAAACAAGGGGGCTGTTAATGCTTGACGATTAATTTGAGTAGCGGACAGTCGATGAATTCAAAGAGACTGGCTTGTTTTCTCATTTATGTCATTAAACACAAGTATATATTCTAGCTACACTACTTATCTTTCCAGATGCATTAAGGGTAGTTCGGTTCGAGATTCGAATTCCGCGAACGGGCAGGCTGCATGGGTGATTTCGTGGTTTTCTCCATGTGTAACGTGTATACGAGCCAGTTTCCCTTAGAAAGTCCTCCATGAAGGCATCCCTCCCCTTAGGGAGATAGCCCTAGTGTGCTTTGCTATAATTAAATACACCACACCACCAGATTCATTAACCTCTACAACTGAAATTAGTGTTAAACCCAAGTTTTGTTTACGTTTTAAACTGAGGTACACTGCGGGGGGGGGAAAGGGGGACAGTTCTGTATCTCCGGTTCTACTGGGCCGACTGACGAAATTCAAATTGCGTTTTTCATGTCTCGAAAGCGCGACTTAGAGTATATTATATACAGCTGATTTATATACAGCTTTGTTCGAACATAGGTATTTTGACACAAAATCGGACTTTTTCTGATAAAACATATAATTTTTTTTCCATATTTCGAGTCTACGACTTAAATTATGTCTAGATATTAAATTTGAAATTTTTGGTGAGAAATTTATGGAGAAATTTTAAAATTTATATCGACGAATTTTTTTCAGTTTGCGCCAAGAATAATTCACTTGGCGAACTTCTTAATTGACAGCAACCTATTTTCCTTTCCTTTTTTCACAGTCCACGAGCGGAAAAAAGTCATCATTCATACTTTCAAATAATTTTTCACAAAGTGCGTAAACCACATTTTCGTTATTATCGCTTATAATAAAATATGCCAAATTTCGAAACGCCCGAAAATGTAAATTCATGTATATATCTTAGGAAATTTCGAATAAAAAAATCTAATTTTTGCAGGTATGCTTATAAATATATCTACTTTAAGATGATGGCAAAACCTTTTATAGGTTTATAAGGTATTTCTGCCGCCTTCTTAGCGAGCCTTCGTGGTGTAGTGGTCTGCACGCTCAGCGCGTAATTGAGAGGTCCGCGGTTCGATTCCCGGCGAAAGCGTTGCTAATTTTTCATCTTGCCTGCTTTCAAAAATACCTAATATCTCTCATAATTCAAAATGTTTTTCGAAAAATTTATAAAAACTATTTAAAAATAAATTATAAAAAATAAGCGAATTTTATTTGTAATGATCCTAAATTTCGAAATATGAAAGGAAGAATCAAATTAAGTTTAATAAAAAAATATTAATAAATATATGTCATATTCAGTTAATATTGAGAAGCTAATTTTTTAAAACCTAATCGTGCGAATTTTACAAAACTTGGCGGTTTGGCATAATTTGAGTGGTAGAATCGAAATATGGAAAAAGATTGGCATATTATTTCAGAAAAAATCCGATCTTGTATATACAAATACCGAAAATACATACATTAGAACAATCCTACTATATATAAATTTAATACATATCATAAGTAGCGCTTTCGAGGCATGAAAAACGCAAGTTGATTTTCGTCAATCGGCCCAGTAGAACGAGAGATATAGAACTGTCCCTCCTCCCCAGCAGTGTACATCTTTTAAATTTATTCCCATCATCCTTGATTTACACATTCTTCCATTTGCAGAGCATAAAAATCCCAGTGGAAAAAAAAAAAAAAAAAAAAAAAAAAAAAAAAAAAAAAAAGATTGACCTGATTAAAATACTTTATTCTTGCTCATACTCATTTCATTTCAGTTAGGATATTTTAAACAGAGAAAGTTCTCACTCTCAACATTTATCGGCTATATGATTTCATATACGCTTCTACCAGAAAGCAGAATGTCTATAAAAATCATCCGTTAATAGACAGCAGCAATACTTTAAAAAATTTCTTTATTACTAATTCGCTTTAAATTTCAGAATTTTTCAAGATACAAACAGACGAGGATAGAATGCAAATTAAGAAATCAAGCTACGTAAAATTTAGAAGATTAACTACAAAAGCTTTCGTTCCAAAAATGCATTTAACTTTTACCTACTATTAAATTACTTTTCCTTTCACTTGAGAACTCTGTAAAGCAATCATGATAAATCAAGCTGTGACACAGAGCGTTGGCAAATATCCAGACGCCATATCTTCGTGCGGAAAGGTCCTTTATCTTGCCAAAATATATTTTTAGACGGCAAATTATGTTATCGATAAATTTATAGTATAAATAAAAGTCAAAAACTTTAGCAATCATTTGGGTGGGATACCTCCACGTGTACTTAAAAAGTTTTCTAGATTTATTTCTAATACATGAAATAACTGACTTTTCATACTCAGCAAT